CAAGTACCCTAAGTGGGAGAGTCGGATGCATTCCTCCACTCATCACACTTTCAGCCAGGCTCTCTGAAGCGAGACGAGTGCGTCTGCTCCTTCTTGACTTCGCATAGACTTCGCGCTCTGCCCTCTCTCACAGTGCTGCCAATCTGCAGTGGCTGCCACACCTGTGGTCAGCCTCACCCGGTCCCGTTAGGGTAGCCAGCCTTGGTTCCTAGAGTGTGTGCTTACAAAATATCTATGGTTATTTGTAGGGAGAATTCCACAACCACTAGTGCCGGTGTTTGAAGCGATTACCTCACTTTTCTTGTGTGTGTGTGTGTGTGTGTGTTATTCAAAGTGTTTGTTCATATTTTTATCTATGAATCACTAAAAGGTTACACCTAAAAAGTAACACGGTTGAGTGTTTGCTTTCCAAAAGATGATTTCCAGTGTTGCAGACATGTATCTTGTATATCTTATCACATCAACTCATATTACACTTACCCTGTCGCCTGTTAACTTGGCTTCCATATCTGTACTTCTGGGATAAACTCCAGGTACAGAGGTTTTGTATTTGTTGTTCCTATTTCCAAGTCCTCTTTGTTTTCAGATTTTCACAAATGCTCAGGGCCACTCCGTGTAAAGGCAGAGTAGCAGAAATGCCTAACATTGGTTGGTAAGGGGTTGGGGCATGGCTGATTACATCTCCAGGTGATGGCCTCTTTGCAGGGTGTTACGGAAAGTTTCTTGTCCCGCCAGGTCCTGCCACTTCAGCCCCAAATGAGGTTTTGAAAAAAAATATTTTATTTGTTGTTTTTATTTATATGTATGTGTGTGGTTGGTGTGTGGGTGTGTAAGTGCAGTGTCTGAAGAGGCCAGAAGAGTCTGTCAGAACCCTCTGGGGAGTTATAGGTAGTTGTGTGCTGATGTGGGTCCTGAGAACTGCACTTGGATCCTCTGGCATCTCTTAACCACTGAGCCATCTCTCCAGTTCCTGATTTTTGCAGTTTTAATTAGTTTTTACTTGTGTGATGTTGAGGACGGAATCTAGGGCCTCCTGCATGCCAGGCAAACAATTTCACATAGAGTTATACCTCCAGCCCTACTCTGTACATTTAAATATGCTTTTAAAAAGTCAAAGACAAATAAGTAATGTCTTGTGTCTTGCAAAAAAATGATATGAAGGGGCTGGAGAGACGGCTCTGTGTGTAAGAGCACTGGGTACTCTTCCAGATAACCAATGTTCAGTTCTCAGCAACTACACTGTAGCTCACAATCGTCTGTAACTCTCAGTTCCAAGGGATTTGATGCCTTCTGCTGATTTTGTGGGTACTGTACACACATAGTGCACATACATAATGTGGCCCCCATAGGGAGTGATACTATTAGGGGGTGTGGCCTTGTTGGAGCAGATGTATCTTTGTTGGAGGAAGTGTGTCATCTTGCGGGGGGGCAAGTTTTGAGGTTTCCCATGCTCAAAGCTACGCTCAGAACACAGACTCCTTCTGCTGCTTCAGATCAAGATGTAGGACTCTTACCTCTTTCTCTAGCACCATGACTGCCTACATGCTGCCATGTCCTGTCATGATAATAATGAAACTATAAGCCAGACTCAATTAAATGTTTTCCTTTGTAAGAGTTGCTGTGGTCTCTTTGCAGCAATAGAAAGCCTAACTAAGACACATACATGCAGGTAAAACACCCATATACATAACATTGGAAATGAAAGAATTTACATGAAATATAAATGCTTCCACCCACAGTAAAATCTTATTAGTGAGAATACTGTACTATGACTTCCATGTGGTTTGGGCACACACTGGAGTTTGGGGATCAGTAAGATAAGCATGGGTGTACTGTGTTACCATCAGTGGCTTCTGACAGTGTCTTAATTTGGTGATTTTCCATCCTGGCTACACACTAAGATCACCAGCAGCATTTGAGAAATCAGAGCCTTAGTCTTACCCTAGAGGCTCTACTAAATTTTGCTGGTGGGGCATTATATATTTGTACTGTAAAAAACAAAAGCAAAACAACAACAAAAAACCTGCTTGGAAATGTTACTATTACTGTAGATGTTAATGGAAGGGAACAGGATGTATTATACAGAAACCAAAGACAACTAAGAGTGATGCCAAGTAAAGTTTTAGGAAGATTTGGCATACAGCTTTTAGAGATGGTCTACATGGTGTCCTGGAGCTTGAAGAAAACCCATGTAGGTTGGACTCAGAGGATTTATCTGGGCTTTAGCAATGCCTAGTTATCTTGTCTTCAGCATACTTCATCCTTTCTCTGGCTTGGTTTCTCCTGATGTAAAATAGCAACACACCTATTTCACAAGGCCTTTCTATGGTGGTGGAACAGGACACGACCTTATTTCATAACACACTGAAAATGTCTCTACAAGGAAAGATTTTACTTCAAACATTGTTAACTCTAACCGAATCCGGAAGGAAAACAATGGATCCAAAACTGGCTTATTTTAACCTTTTGTATGAACTACTGGTGTTTATGGTCCAGTATATTTAGGGCCCATGTAAAATAGAAATAACAAAATCATAAGAGCCAGGTATCCATTTATTACTCCCCCACACAGAATAATATAAAACATTGAGTGAAAAGAACTTAGAGTAGCATTTACTTTCATGATTTCAGAACATTACTACATTTTATTTATTAGTACTCTTGTTTGTATCTATGATGTGGTGTGTGTGTGTATGTGTGTGTGTGTGTGCGTGCGTGCTTGTGTGCCTGTGTGCAGGTGTTCATGTGCCATGGTGTGCGTGTGGAGGTCATAGGATAATTTTGGAGAGCCAGTTCTCACCTCCACTGTGAGGTCATCTGGGCATTGAATGTAGGTCTCCGGATTTGAGTAGCAAGTACTTTTACTTGCTGAGCCATTCCACTGGCCCTGATTTCAAGTTACTTGAAACTTCACTCAGCTAAATTTGCAGAGCAGCACCAACAAAATGATCAGTTTTCCCATAACCAGTAGTCATAAATGATAACATGAAATATGAGCAAAATCATGACACTACTAACATGACCTTCATTTCCCATTTGGGGTTTGGTAAATTGTGTGCTTTACATTGCGTTAGAGTTAATTTCTATATGTATCATAATGTTTTCCTGTGTTTGCTGAAAAGATATGTAATAGTGCAGACTTTCCACTATGAGACAAAAATGTTTTCCAGCTGCATTGCATTTCTGGAAATGGAATCAACCGTAACCACTGGCACCAAATATTTAGCAGTCTGGACCCAGGCAGACGGCAGAAGGGAGGTGTTTGAACTGCTCCCAGACTGCCTTTGCCACAGGGCAGATATTAGAATGTGATATTTTTATGCTCAGAGTAATTGAGCTTATGGGGAATGCCAATATGGATAGTGCTCAGTGTCAACCCCATCCAGAATTAGCATGCTCTCCCTTTACCTTGGGTTTGTGGGGAGGGTGTCTTTTTCCAAGGGCAGCCAGCACTTGCTTATCTGCTATGTGGCTAGCGCACTGCATAGTTGATTCACATTAAACCTCAGGCCATGCTGGGATCTTTTCCTCCTAGCTGTACAGTCACCCACTTCCCTCCAGTTGGAGGTGTGCTGAAGAAATCAGCCCTAGTGCCGTCATGCTAGCGTTTATCGAATGCCTAAAGCATTTCTACCTTTCTATTAGGTCAAGTCTTCATGTACAATTGAGGATAAAAGTGCCATCATCTTATTTTCCAGGTTAGAGAGCCAAGATGCTTTTGTCTTAAACATAGATTTCAGTCCAGAGTAAGATGACATCTAGGCTAACTGCAGCTTTTGATAATTTAAGTCTTAGACACTTCCAGGTTGGTGTGGCAAATGCTAAACTGGTTTCTTTTCATATAAGAAAAACTGGATGTCATGTAACGTCTGAAAGGACAAGGAATAGTTCTAATTCGTGCTATCAACATCCAATTTGTAATTTTTATTAAAGTTTTAAAAATAAAATAGGGCTGGAGAGATGGCTCAGCTGTTAAAGGCTAGGCTCACAACCAAAAATATAAAAATAAAATAATTTGGAACAAAGGTGGCTAAAGTATCTTTTCTATCAGTTGTTATTTTGTATGGTGGATTATAAATGTAGGTATGCATGCACGCACACACAAACATTTATATATATATAATTTATATATATATAATGTTTGAAATACATATATATTTCAAAATGTTTTGCCAAAGGAAAGAAATTTCTGTGTACGTTGCAGATGACCCCTTTGTTAACATCCTTGTTTAGACCCCATGATGTCATTCCTTGTCCTACTGTACACCACCATTTCCATAGCGACAAGACAGTAATGGGAAGGGGCAGCCATTGGCTCTTGAGATGATGGAAATGCATGGACAGTTCCATCTTCCCCAACAATATGCAGATTACTTTAGCATATGATAAACAACAAAGAAAGTGAGGCCTTTTTTGAGGAGGCAGCTTACTTGGCTTTTGGAGTGTGTCCATTTTTCTGACAGCTTTTCTATCATGCTATCTTTCCTGCCCCCCCCACCCTCAAGACCAAAATAAAATCATTAAAAAACAGCCTGACATTGCATGTGACTCGGTGACAGATGTAGGGGTTTGTGCTGGCAGAAATAGGTCCCGAACAGAACGCTTGCACAGACTTAATTGCAAAATGAATTTGACTTGAATAAACTTCAGTTGTCAGGATATGACTGAAGAGTGAGATGTTTCTTTGAAATGAAGAGTTTTATACATACATGCATGCACACATATACACATACATATACAGACACACAGTTACTGTTTTCTATTATGTCTTGCTAAAATATTGTTGAGGTACTTAGATACTTAATGCATTTAGTAGATGGTCTTAACTCTGGGTAATATGATGTTCTTTCTGGGACATCAGGAAAAGTGTCTTAGATACACATTTCTATTATTAAGTATTTTCAAAATCGAGTTCTTTAAGTTTTTTTGTGGTTTTATTTTGTGTATGAATATTTTGTTTGCATATGTAATTGTGCACCATTTGTGTGTCTGATGTTTGCAGTGGCCAGAAGAGGGTGTCATATTCTCTGGAACTGGAGATACAGGTAATTATGGCCCACCATGTGGAAGCTGGGAATAGAAACTGGGGCCTCTGGAAGAACAGCCAGTGCTCTTAGCTGATGAGTAAGCTCTACAGCTCTGAGATATTCTTTTATTGAAAACAATTTTTGGTAATTCCCTGAGAATTTTGTGCAATGTATTTTGATCACATTCACCTCCTTTTCTTCCCCCAATTTCCCCCAGACTCAACTCTATCCCAATGGCTTCATGTCCTTTTTGTTTTTAAAGAGACATTCTTTTTGAGAAGGTCATTAAAATTGAATGAACAGTATGTGTGCTTTTATATATCTTTGGAAAGTGGAGAGTCATTTTAAGTATTCCTTCTGTGTACAATGTACACACTGTGAACATAGTTTATCTCATGGGGATAAATACAAGTGCAGAAACTGTTTCCCTGGAAAAATGAGGAAATGTCTGCATCATCTCACTTTGGGACCAAATACAGTTGTTCCTCCCAGCCAGTCACTGCTATCATTACTGGCATTGCTTGTTCTTAAGACTTTTTCCCCTCTAGGTTCAACTTGGTCAAACAGTCAATGTTGGTAGACTAGGGAGCAGTGACTAAACACCACAACATGAACACAGAACAGCTAAATCCTGTGCGAGCAGAGTTTAGGGCTGAAAGCACAAACTCTACAACCACGCACCTCTCCTCTAAACCATGTTAGTAACATGAACAGAATTCAGGCTGCCTGTCTTTGGTATCACATCCTGATGTGAGAATTCCATTCACACAGCCCAGAACCTGCTTCATTGGTACTCACTTCTGCTTTTGTTCTATTTGACGAAAGTCAATGACTAACATATCTCAAGCAGTTCTCCGGACTCCTCTACCAGAATGACATGGGTAAAGTGCAGAGCCCCCAGCCCAGACACAGAGTTATGTCTGGGTGCAAGATGTGACAACATGAATTTTCAATGGATTCTCTTCAGTTATTACTGTTATTCCTAATGATCACTACCTTTTAAATTTACTTGTCTATTTATTTGACACAGCATCTAACCATGTAGCCTATGAAAATTGAGCTGGCCTCAAAGGCACAAGAGATCCACCTGCCCCTGCCTTCCCAGTGCTGGGATTAAAGGGGCGTGCCATACACACACACACACACACACACACACACACACACACACACACACACACACACACACACACACACACACACAGCCCATGGGCAATACCTTTTGGGAAGCCTACCCTAGGGATCAATGAGATGCTCAGTGGGTAAGCTTGCTCGACATCAAGGCTGATGAATTGAGATTTATTTCTGGAACCTACATGGTGGAGAGGGAAAACTGATGCCTACACACTGTACAAATACACATGTAAAAAAATAAACAAGTGTAAAAACACATTTTTTAAAAAAGAAGCCCCTTCTGTAAGAAATGTGGAGGGTGGTGCTGTCCCTGGTGCTAGGAAAGCCTTCAGGCGCCCTCTGCATACAGGGAGTTAATGCCTGCTGTTCTTTCTGTTGTTCTTCTCCAGGGACTCTCTCTAGCCCCTATTCTGAGCCTATCATTGTCTTCCTAGTCAACCCTTACTAGACCATGCAAGTTCTTCCTTGTAGCTCCCCCCCCAAAGTCTAGAAGAAACTGCTTCGTTTGTACAACATTGTTAGGGATGGGTGCATGTGTTTGAGGGGAAGGTAAGCTGTAGAGTTGTGTGCTTTATGCTCAAGAGCTATGCTATGTGGGATAGCCTTGACTACATGAACTCAGGTCTTCCTAGCTTCCTAGCATCCTAGCATAGGGACGGAGCCTTGACTACATGAACTCAGGTCTTCCTAGCTTCCTAACTTCCTAGCATAGGGACAGAGGCCTTGTGTATAAACATTTCCATTTACCAGGCGTGGTTATCTCCCTAATAGTTTCATTCAAGTCCACACAAATCTCAGCTATCAATTCTTAAGAATAAACTAAATTGTGCTTAAAATGACTGCCTTGGTTTAAATAAGACTGGCTCCCATGGGTTCATAAGTCTGAATATTTGGTTCCCAGTTGCTGGAACTGTTTGGGAAGGATTAAGTGGTGGCCTTGTTGGAGGAGGTGTGTCACTGGGGGGAGCTTTAGGATTCAAAAGACTTGCTTCATTTCCAGTGTGCTCTCTGCTTCCTGTTTAAAGTCTGAGATGTGAGCTCTCAGCTGTCCCTGCCACTGAACTTCCCTCCACTGTCATGGACTAGAACACTCTGAAACTGTAAGTCCAATAAAATGCTTCCTCTTACAGGTTTCTTTGGTCATGGCTATTTATCACAGCAATATAGAAGTGGCACAATGATGATGGACATTTGGAGAAACTTACTTGGAAAGCTTTAAAAAATCTACCAACAACCCTCCAGGGAATAATTTTGAGCTGGCCTAAAATAGTCCGGTTCCAGCTTAGTGAGCTGACATGCTGGAGGCAACGGTAGGAATTAAAAGGACAATCCATCTACTTGCCACTGGCAGGGAGCTCCAAATGAAGCCTGTTTTGGAATCACAGGAAATTTCACTGGTTGAAGATGTAGAGAAATCACAAGAGTTAGAAATCCATATGAACGGTGGCAATCACCTTTATCTTCCTCTAGGATGGGCATGGCCTGGTGTAGAGTGGCACTAAGGACTCCCTCTGCCCTTGCTGAGCTGTGAAATTTGAGAAGTCAGATGGACCTTCACCCTTTTGAGTTTCTCACCATTTAGTGCTGGTACTGAAATCACCCTGGAGAACTTGGTGTACCTCACAGGTGCTCTCTGACCCTTCCTCTTCCTGGCATTGGTTCTCAGCTGGACCAGGCCATACTTAGCAGAGTTTATATCACAGGGGAAAGGGGAAGGAAAGGGGAAATGTCCCTGATACAGAGGCAGACAAGGCCTGTGAGTAAGACCTGGTGAGGATGAGGGAAGCATTCTAACAGAGTGCTGGGCTTTGGTAGATTAGCAGAGTCATATAGAAAATTCCAGACAGGAATATAAGCACAATAAAAGGATGCTACTAATCCAATCACTGGCAAATGCTTGAATGTGTTCTTTCCTTTCAGAATGCCTCAGGATGTGGAGGTGACTGTTAGCCCCAAATTATAGATGAGACTCAAAGGCACAGCCTTCTGTGTGGGACTATGATACCGGCTGACTGTCTCCAAAATGTCTCCTCTTTGACACTCATGGATAATGAGCAGCCTGCATTAACTGCCTGCCTCATGATTTTTGCCCAGGCTTAGGGTGAGAAGCAGAGTGGGGGAAACAATCAGAGAAGAAGGCAAAGATTCAGCAGACACCTTTTTTTGCCCAGACTGGCTTCTGATAAATGGAGGTCTCTAAGCAAAGGTGTTTTGTTAAGCAAAATTGCGTAATGGACCCGGAATATGGGTAAAGCAACACCTCCCAACGCACTTCTAACCGATGAAGCTGAAACCAGATCTGCAGAGGTGAAAGATGCAGGTATTGCCCAGTGATAATGGACTTCCAGGTGGCCGGCCCACCTCTGTCTCTGCCTTTGGACGGTAAAGCTGGCCAATCACTGCTTTCTGTAATAGTTCATGAGATACAGTGTAGGCAAATGTTACATGCAAATCACCTTCCCTTGGGCCTTTTTATAAAGCCACCCACTGCAAAATCATTCACTTGAGAGCCTCAGATGAGAAAGGTTCCGTGAAATCTGAAGGTGAAAGTATTCCACACGATCCCTTTGTGGGGGCAGATAACATCCATGTTTTTTGCCTTGTACAAAACTTAAGTCCAAATGGATCAAAGATCTCAACATAAATCCAGCCACACTGAAACTTTTAGAAGAGAAAGTGGGAGATACTCTTCAATGAGTTGGTACAGGAGACCACTTCCTGAACATAATACCAGTGGCACAGACACTGAGATCGACAATTAACAAATGGGACCTCCTGAAACTAAAAAGCTTCTGTAAGGCAAAGGACACTCAGTCAACAAGACAAAAAGGCAGTCCACAGAATGGGAAAAGATATTCACTAACCCCACATCTGACAGAGGGCTAATCTCCAAAAATACAAAGAACTCAAGAAGCAAGTCTCCAAAACACCAAAGGATCCAATTAAAAGGTGGGGTACAGAACTAAACAGAGAATTCTCAATAGAGGAGGCTAAAATGGCCAAGAGATACTTAAGAAAGTGTTCAACATCCTTAGCCATCAGGGAAATGCACATCAAAACAACTTTGAGATTCCATCTTACTCCTGTCAGAATGGCTAAAATCAAAAACATCGAAGACAATTTATGCTGGAGAGGATGTGGAGAGAGGGGAACACTCCTCCACTGCTGGTGGGAGTGCCAACTCGTACAGCCACTTTGGAAATCAGTATGGAGATTCCTCAGGAAAATGGGAATCAATCTATCACAAGACCCAGCAATTCCACTCTTAAGCATATATCCAAAAGAGGCAAATTCATACAACAAGGGCATCTGCTCCACTATGTTCATAGCAGCATTATTTGTAATAGCTAGAACCTGGAAGCAACCTAGATGTCCCTCAACTGAAGAGTGGATAAAGAAAATGTGGTACATTTACACAATGGAGTATTACTCAGCAGAAAAAACAATGGAATCTTGAAATTCGCAGGTAAATGGATAGCACTGGAAGAAACCATCCTGAGTGAGGTAACCCAGTCACAAAAAGACAAACATGGCATGTACTCACTCATATATGGATTTTAGACATGGATCAGGAGAGTGCCAGTCTGCACTTCCAATGACAGAGAGTCTGGGAAACAGGAAAGAACATAAAAGATATGCATGGTACCCAAGAGAAGAGAAATGAGGCAAGATTCTCTGAACAGATGGGGAACACGGCGAGGGGGGAGGGGGAGCTGGGAAATAGGGGGAGAAGTGGAAGAGAGAGTAGGTCATTGGGGGAACAGGAAGGTTGACTGGAGGGGTAGGATAGGGGGAAGAGGGAATCATAGGTTAGAAGACAGATCAGGCACCATTGTGACCTCTAATGATCTAAAGGGATGACACCAATTGGCAAGCTAAGCAATAGTGTAGAGACCACCCGAATACCCATTCCTGATAATGAACTTGATGTCTATGACCATCCTGGAGCCTTCATCCAGTGACTGATGGAAGCGGAGGCAAACACCCACAGTTAAACACTGAACTGAACCCAAGGAACCCAGCGGCAGAGAGAGAGGAGCGATGAGCAAATTGGCAGAGAATGGGCTGGCAAAAACAGCAGAGACAGCTGATCCGAACAGGGGAGAGCTCTTGGACCTCAGACCGACAGCTGGGAGGCCAGCATGGGACTGATCCAGACTTCCTGAATGTGAGAGTCAGTGAGGAGGCCTGGGCAACCTATGGGGTCCTGAGCAGTGGATCAGTGTTTATCCCTGGAATACAAGCAGACATCGTGTGTCCATAGCACAAAGAGGGATGCTCTCTCAGCCTGGACTCTTGGGGGAATGCCTGGGCCCTACCCTGAGTGAAGTGACGGGGACTCTGGATTTCCCCTATGTGGAAGGAGTTGGCAGTAGGATGGGGGGGATGGGAGGATAGTGGAGGGAGGGGTTCGGGGGGAGGGGAGGGAGAGGGAACTGGGATTGACATGTAAAACAAGCTATTTAAAATTAAAATAAAAAAAGAAAAAACATACACACAGAGAAGGTTGTGGAATGAAGAAGGGAAGGGGAAGGTATTTGTGAGTGGTGAGTGGTTCTGTACAAGCCTCTACCATTGCCTTTCCAAGCATTTTCTCTCACAGGTGTAATTTTAAAAGCACTGTGAGTGACAGCCAGAAAGGTAGGGGGAGTATCCTTGATGGGACTGTCATTTTCTCCTGGAGAAAACGGTTATTATCTTCTGGTTTATGTAAATGTAGTTTGTCTTCGAGGGCCTAGCTCTCGCTGGTGGATGAGTCGGAAGCTGTGGAAATGTTGACATCCTTGGATGCTTCTTTGACATGTGCTTCAAGGAGATTGATCCAACAGAAGCTGGTAATTCCACCTCCTTCCGTGAGGGCTGCATGTGAACTTGTATGGGAGGAGTTATGAGGAGTGTGCACAGGTGAACTCCTTCAGTGACTTTCCGAAGTATGTCATGTACTTGTAGAAGATGTCCTTATGAAACACAGTGCCGATGTACTGTGCATGTGCAATCTGAAAATTATAAAAAGAAAATTCCTGAAATAATTATCGATTTTAAAATGAAAGGGGGAGCAGCAAGATTGCTCGGTGGATAAAGGCGCTTGCTGCCAAGTCTTTCTTTTCTCTTTTTCTTCTATGCGTTTGGGTGCTCTGCCTGAATGTCTGTGTCAGCACCGTATGTATGCCTGGTGCCTAAAGAGGTCAGAAGAGAGCGTCCGATTCCCTGGGATTAGAGTTTCAGATGGTTGTAACCTGCCACGTAGGTGCTGGGGATCGAACCACGGTCCTCTGGAAAAGTGTCCAGTGCTCTTAGCCGCTGAGCCATTTCTCCTGCCCCAATTTCCAAGTCTTTCTATCTGAGTTTGTTCCAAGGACCCACGTGATAGAAGGAGAAAGCCGACTCCTGTAGTTTGTCCTTTGATCTCTACATGTGTGCTATGGCATGAGTGTGCACATGCACAAAATAAATAGACAAATAAATAGAAAAAAGAGAAACAAACCTCAGTAATGTGTACAACGAATATACATACCAACAAAAATATTTTCATGTATTTGAATGTATGTATGTGTTTATGTGGGGATGGAGTATGAGTGCACATATATGTGGAGGCCAGAAATTGTCACTTTTCTGAGACAAGTTCCCTTGCTGAACCTGGAGCTCTGCAGACACCTAGACTGGCTGGCCAGCAAGCCCTGGAGATCCTCCTGTTTTCCCCTGCCGTGTTTTATGAGGGTGCTGGAGAGCCGAACTCAGTTCTTCACGCATGCTTAGCAACCAGTTGGAGCCATCTCCTTAGTCCCCTACACCAACAAATTTTAATAAAAACAGTTGCCTCGAGTGGTCTGGAGAATAAAGTATTTGAATGTCCTCTCCATGTCAGAATATAGAACACTATTGTGAGAAGCATAACCCTGGCTGGAAAAGGTGACACTTAAGGAAGCCAGCTTAGGCGGCAGAACCATGAACAGGGCATCCTGACACTGTGTATCCGGCACATTGGTGCTACTGAGGTCCCGTAAATATGAGTGTTTTTACATTTCCACTAAGCTCGTAGCAAGACTCAGGATTAAGGGGGAACATGAAAACTCCGCTTTCAGGTTTTCAAGAGAGAAAAGCTGACAGAATTGCCTGTCACTCCCATCTCAATATTTGCCACGCGCATCTGCAGAGTGACAGCACTGTTCTGAAATGAGGGCCAAATAAAAGTTGTCAACAATATGTGGCTCTTGGTTTCATAGCTCTCCTCTTGCACAGTTTGCAGCTAGACCCACGCATGAGTGTGGGGGCTATAAAAAGCAATGGTGCTGAAATATTACAAATAACTTTTTAATTTTGTTCTCAATGTGACTTAGACGTAGAGGAGTTTGGATAGTCATGAACACTTTCTTAGCCTCTCTTGCCTTGCAACAGGATAAGGCATCTTCCATTCTTTCAAATCAGCAAATGGTCAATGAGTGCTTATTCTGTGACATGCTGTCTTCTGATCATGCTACCATCTTCTTCTGTCTAATCCGCCAGCTGGGAGAGGAGACCTTCTGTTTCCAGAAGTTTATCTGGGGAAAGTTATCTGGGATCAGCACTCAGGTGGCTGGAGGTCAAGGCAGGGACAGAAAGGGTAGAGAGACAAGGGGAATTTCTGCACTGGATGGGATTGCAGTGATGGTCTCCCTGCTGTGCTCCTCTCTGCTGGTCCCAGACCTTGACCTTTAGAGCTTGCCCATCTAGAAGCAAAGAGGCATTTTAACCCTTAATGTACTCCATCAGTCACTGGATACCAGATGGTCCTGAGAGAGATGTGATTCTGGGCAAGATTATCACATCAGCTCAGAGCTCTGCTGTCAGTATTCCTAGCAGCATTGGAGTGGGCTGTCTGAGAAACCCACCAGAACATCCAGCATAGGGGTCACCCCATTTTTACGTTAGACAATGGACTCTGAAGAGTTTAATAACCTCCCCACACAAATGGAGGGGCCAGGTGAGCCCCACATACCCATATAGTTTGGTTCTCAGTTCTGTAGCATAGTTTTGTTTTTTAGTTACTAGTACTACAGATGCTAGTACATGAGTGTGCTGGTTAGTTATCTTTTGTCGACTTGATGCAAGCTGGAGTCATCTGGAAAGAGGGAACCCCAACTGAGAAAATGCCTCCATCAGATTGGCCTGTGGGCAAGTCTGTGGATTAATGATTGATGTTGGAGGACCCAGGCCACTGGGAGCTTTGCTACCACTAGGCAGGTTGTCCTGGGTTATACAAGAAAGCAAGCTGTGCAAGCCATGGAGAGCAAGTCAGGTAGCCCCATTGTTTCTGCCCCAGCTTGAGTTCCTACTTTGGCTTCCCTCAGTGATCGATTGTTATCTGGACACAGAAGCCAAATAAACCCACTAATGGGCTGCTGCTATCAACATGGCCCCAGGTGGCTGCACAGGCCGGCCACACCAACATGACCTCATGTGGCAGCACAGTCCATGGACAATGATGTGGATTCAGGCAGTGGCACAGTCTGTGGACATCCACACAGGCCTAGCTAGTTAGTAACACGCGCCATAAGCATCAATACAGCTCCCAGCTACAACCGCAGACCCAGACATGGCCCTCAGCAGCAGCATACACCTCGAACATCAACATGGCCCTCAGGCTTCATCACAAGCTGGGACAGCAGGGCACAGCACTGATGGCCTCTGCGGGAGTATGGCTGGTCCATGGGTTTCTGAG